TGTCACCTAAGACAGACTCTTACTATATAGCCTTAGCTGGCCTAGAACTCCCTGTGTACACCAGGCTGGCTTTGAATTCAATTCTGCCTCTGCGGTATGAGCTACTGCATCAGCGTTCACCTTGGGGGAAAAAAATTAATGGAAGGAAACTGGTCTGAAATTTTAAGTAAAAGCTAGAATTTAGAAGATCTTGGATCCCAGCATAACACTAACCAGCACATCACAAAGCACTAAGTTTCAGTGGAAACTTTGAGCTGCCGGGATGGCAGAGCAGGTAAAGGCACCTGCCGCCAAGCCAAACCACCTCACTTGGATCACTGGGACCCATGTATTAGAGGAAGAGAATCAGCTTCCCCAAGCTGTCGCCTGACCACCACACGGGTGCGCACAAACACGAAATAATAAAGTGTGGTTTTGTTTGGGGGGGGATTGGTTTTTTTGAGAGTTTCTCTGTGTTCCCCTGGCTATCCTGGAACTCACTCTGTAGACCTGGCTGGCCTCAAACTCAGAGCTCCCAAATCCTTCGACTGAAGGTGTGCTCCACCATCACCCAGCTTAAAATGCATAATTTTTTAAAGGTGCTTTCCTTTTCCTTTTGAGAACTTTAAGAGCTCAATCACCCTGAGCAGCACAGTATGACCTGATTTCAAAACAAACACAGAAGCAGAAGGGCAAATAAAGTCAACTCACAGTGGGAATTCCCGGGGTGCTAACAGTTGGTTATTTCTTAGTGGTGCTCGGTTTGTATGAACTCCTGGACAGTGATCGTAATTTGAACATTTTCCTCTAACTGTACATTTCAAAAAGGCTTACTAATTAAAGATAAAGCCTGTAAGTGGTGGTGCACACCTTTGGTACTGTCGCCGGGAGACAGAAGCAGGCGCATCTGAGTTTGAGGCCAGCCTGGTCTACTTAGAGAGTTGCAAGACAGACAGACTACATAGTGGGCCCAAGACCTCCTCAAAAAAAAAAAAAATAATAATAATAATAATAAGATAAAACCTAGGGACCCCCCCCCAGCTTTTGAGAAGTGACAGATTGGAGGAAGTCATCCACAGAAAACATTTACCAAACAGTATAAAAGAAAGAGTCAACTACAGAGGCAGTACAAGAGACCAGAGCACTGAGCACCAAGAGAAGCCCAGGGGCTACAAACAGTAAGCTTGTCGGTGGCTAAGCAAAAGTAACAGGGTCCGGAAGGAAAACCACGGGGCAAATAAGATGAAGGCAAAGTCAAGTCAAGCATGGTGGTGCAAACTTGTAATCCCAGCATTTGGGAGACGAGGCAGGAGGACCATTACCTAAACAGCTTACTCAGATACGACGAGTGGTCCACCACAAACAAAAAATGTAAAACGAGCGGAAGCAAAAAATGGGACTAGAAAGGCATGTAAATGAACACTAGAGGGGATTCTGTCACTGATGAGACTTGGGCAGAAAGAAAAACGGATAAAGCTGAAGAAAGCCCAAGTTGCCCAAAACAACAATTTGGTTGTAACCAGCTGCCTCACCTGTCATCATACCAACCATAAGCCAGACTCCAGAAAGATTTTTTCCCCTCCTTCATTCAATGCAGCATCTAATTGCCCTCTTAGCCAGGTACCAAAGCAAAGGTTAGGGGATGAGCCTTGCCTTGAAGAAGTTTACAAGGCTCACTTTGCAGCAGGGATAGCAAACAGGGACATCAGTTATAGTATAATACAAACCAAAAGTCACTGAGAAAACTCAGTACAAAGTTTGCTACCAGAAATGAAATGCTCAGTTGTCGTGATGTTTTATGATCTAAACAAATAAAGCTTACCTGAAGATCAGAGCGCAAAGCTAGCCACTAGCTAGCCACAGTGGTGGTACACTCTGCACTACATGAGACTGATCCAGTTTAAAAAGAGAAACAGAGCCAGGTGGGCTACATCAGACACTGTCTCAAAAATAAAAATTAAAGGCTTCCAAATGGCACTTACTAACAAGACTGACAACCTGAGTTAAATTCTCAAGCCACATGGTGAAAGGAGAGAACCCATTCACAAAAGCGCTGTGTGTGTGTGTGTCTGTGTGTGTGTGTCTGTGTGTGCGCGCGTGTGAACTTAATTATGAAAAGCATATGTCATCTAACACAGACTCTTACTATATGGCCTTAGCTGGCCTAGAACTCCCTATGTACACCAGGCTGGCTTTGAATTCAATTCTGCCTCTGCGGTATGAGCTACTACATCAGCGTTCACCTTGGGGGAAAAAAAATTAATGGAAGGAAACTGGTTTGAAATTTTAAGTAAAAGCTAGAATTTAGAAGATCTTTAATCCCAGCACTAAGGAGGTAGAGGCAGAAGGGGCGGGGAGAGGAATGTAAGGGGGGAAGAGACAGGAGCTCAGGGCAGTGTGAGGTAGCATCTGAGGATGCCCAAGTAGAGGTGAGAACTCTGTAGCTATGCTGCTCTGATCTTTCTGCTCTCACCCCCCCATGGCTGACTTTGAGTTTTTACTAGTTTTTATTATTAAGACCAATCAGAATTCGTGCTACACCAGATCTTGAGACATAACGGTGAGTTCAATGCTTAAAAAAACTTTATTTACCCACGTGACCTTTCCGCACTCAACTCCCAGCTTTTAGGCACGCCAAGAATTCAGATCTTCTCTGAGCACCAACAAAAAAATAAAAAGCTGCTCAGATCATGAAGGCCCCACAATGGCTTCTTATAGCTTTAGAACAAAATCTAAACACAGCCGCCTGTGGCCCGGCCTTTGCCTTCTCTGACCACCTTACGACAACTCCCTACTTCAGTGCTCGTAATACAAAGATCATCTCTAGGCCTCCAGACACTGTGCCAACGCTCAGGCCACTTACACCTGTCAAGGACCCCGTTCCTTTATTCTGGTCCAAGTTTTTGGCCAGTACACTCACCATCGCCACCTCCAACAAGCAGGGCTGCCTGTGCTGTCAGTAATGTGACTTTCTAAGAGAATTCCAGACCATTCATTCACACCAGCTACTCTGGCTCTCCACATCTGACTTAGATCTCCGAAACAGAATCAAGTATCACTTCAGACGTGGTTTGAGAAGGCGGGAGAGATACGCAAGGAGACCCACGGGGCTCAGGAGAGACATCTCAGCCCAAAACAAGGAGCTGGGTGTTAGCGGCTAAGGTTGCCGGCAGAGGTCGGGGGTTTGTGCAAGGTCATGGTAGATCACCTGACTAGCACACACAAGGCTCTAGGTTTGTCTGTTTCCCCAACACCACGGAGGGGGGAAGAGGGGGCTCATGAGAGAAAGATACAAGACGGTGATTCTCAACTAGGGGGGAAAAAAGACGCCCCTCATCTCTCATCAATATAGACAATGTTTCTGACGGGAACGGAGGTGGAAAACCAATGTATTCAGGATAGACTTACTCGCTGGAAAGGGAGGAGGTGAAAAGTAAAAAAAAAAAAAAAAAAAACAGACTAATTAGATTCCCCACGCTTAACAAGTCCTTTAATGCCTTTCCCCTGCTTCCTCCTGACCACATGACTTCAACTCCTGCACGCTCCACCCAATTAAAAAGCCACCACCTTCCCGAACTCCCGGACTCACACACGTATTAATAAGTTTCTGTTGTTTGCATTTATACACAAGACCCAGACAGGTGTTATGTATGGGACACGTCTGAGTCCCAACACTCAAGAAGCTTAAGCCAGCTTGGGTTTCATAATGAGAGCCAGTCTGAGGGGGGCAAAAATAAATAAATAAATGGTAGGACACTAGAGAAGCTTCCGGTCCTGAAAGAAAAAGGAATTTTAAAGCCTATTTTCTGACTTAGTTGAGAGTCAGGACGTATAAACGACTGAGCAGGAGAAATGATTACCCCTCCCCCCCTCAATCCTTTTGTAAACTAAAACACATTCCATTTCCTAAAGTTAACATCCACCTGTGTAGTCTTTAAGAAACCAGTTAAACATAAAATATCCTCTCCAAAGACACCCATCACAAAGACACAGTGATGCGTGCATGAGTCTACATTATAAATTATTGTGAACTCTATACAACAACGCACACATTTTTTTAAAAAAAAATGTTATGAAGAGGGTTATCAACCGTCCATCTGACCCAGGCGCTGACTGAATGACCAGGGATGGCCACGGCTCGCAAACCAAGGCTGCCCACCCGGTTAACAATTCCTACCTCTCCCAACCCCAGGTTCCGCACACATTAATTAACGAGTTCCTTTGAAAGGAGGGCACGGGGGGCACTGACATCGAGCGACTGGCCATGCCCGCCCTCGGGAAGCTGAGGGCAGGGAAGTATTGCAGGCCAGCCTGGGCTACTTATCCGCACCACCGGGTCAGTTAACCAGAACCCTAACGCCACACTCCTGGAAACTGAGAGAGTCAGGTCGGGGCGGCGGTGCCGGGCAGGGGAGCAGGTCTCCAAAGTGAAGGCGAACAAACTCGCGGCCGCACGGGCGTGGCGCACCTTACAGGACCAGGACAGCCGCGGCTCCCGTCGTCGTCCCCTACCCCACCCCACCCCACCCCGCGCGCGTCGGGACCGGGGAGGCCGGCTCCCCCGACCTCTGGCCAAGCAGACGCCCGGAGCTGCAGCAGCAGGCGGCGAGGGGGGAGGGGAGCGACCGGCACAAACCCGGAGAACCATCTCGACCCCTGGGGAAGAAAATAAAACACCCCACGGCCGGAATGCCGGCCGGGGGTCGCCCCTCAGCGGGTGCGGGGGACGGAGGGGGGTAGGAGAGGCTCGGCCGAGGCGCGGCGCCCCGGCCCCCGCGAGCGCGAGCGCGCAGACGCGCGCGCCCCGCCCGGGGAACAAAGTTTCCGAAGAGGGAGAAACTTTCCCGAGGCTTCCCGAGCGTCGGGCTCCGCCCGCCCGCCCAGGCCCAGACCCAGGCCGCTCCGGGAAAGCCTTGCCCCGGCCCGACGCTCCCCAAGGGCGGCGCCGTCACCCGGGACCCCGGCCTCCCTTCCACCCCGCGCGCGCGCGCGCGCCCCGAGGGGAGGCACGAAGGCCTTACCTGCGGCGGGCGAGGGGGGGAGAGCGAAGAGAGCTCGGGACGACTCCGGAGGCGCCAAGCCGACGGCCGCCGCTTTGTCTCCCGCCCGTCCGTCCGGCTCCCAGGAGGAAATGGGGCCGCCCTGCGCCCCCGCCCCCGGCCCGCCCCGCGCCGCGCCCGCCCGCCCTTCCCGGCACCTCCCTCCGCGCGCTCTTCCCGGCGCCTCCCGCGGCCTCCGCGCCGCTCGCCCCGGCCTGCGGCGGCCTTCGGGGCTGAGCCTCCCCCACGCCCGCAAGGTGGCCTGCCCCGGGACGCCCCCACCACCACCACCCCGAAGTCCTTCCCGGGGCGCGCGCGCGGACCCCCGACGGGCAGGAGGGGCGGCGACTCCGGGAAGAGCCCGCAGCCGGGAAGGGAGGGCGGGCGGAGGGCAGGTGAGTCACGGTCTACTCAGGTGAGTCTCAGGGCGCGGCCCCCGAAGGCCCCGCCCCGTCCGACGTCCCGGGGACCCGCAGGTCTCCTTTTCCCGTGGTGAATGTCACCTTGGCCCCTGGTCCAGGGCGCCCAGACGAGGGAGACAGCCTGCTCCCTGGCTTTACCCGAAGAGGAGCAACTGCGAGCAAACGTTGCACATCCCCGGGCACGGTGGAACGGGAACCCGACTCTCAGAACCTGCGGTTTTCTCTTTTTTTTTTTTTTAATTGGTGTTTTGGTTTTTTTGGTGTTTGTTTGGTTTGGTTCTTTATTTATTTATTTTGAGATAGGTTCTCACGTCGGTCAAGCTGGTCTTGAGCTGGCTGTGTCAGCAAGAGTAACCTAAAACTTTTGTTTTTGGGTTTTTTTTTTAACACTTGGGCGGAGGGTCTGGCTGCACATGCCCTGTGCCTGTGTACCAATCAGGAACACAAGTGTTTGCCCCCTACCAACAATGCAAGCCTGACGGCCTAAGTTGTAGGAAGAGAGTATGAAGCCCACGGAGTTTGACCTCTGACTTCCACACTGGCGCAGGTGGCGTATGCACCCACACACAGTAATAAATAAATTTTAATTCTAAGAAAAGTGGGTTGGAGATGTCTCCATGGTATCGAGTGCTTGCCTACTGTGCGCCCTGGGTCCAGTCTTCATCAACGGCCACTCTGGTCCAACTACATTCTATTCTGTTTCTAGTTTGGGGGTTTTGGCTCTGGTGGTTCGTTGCCTTGTTGGAGGGAATGTGTCACTTTGGGGAGGGGCTTTCAGGTCTCCTGTGTTCAAGCTAACCCCAGGACACAGCCTCCTTCCTCTTGTCTGCTGATCAAGATATGAGAACTCTCAGATCCTTCTTCTGCTTCCCACCGTGGACTAAACCTCTAGAAAGGTAGTTGGACCTCCATTAATTTTTTGTTTTTTGTTTTTTTCGAGATCTGCCTGCCTCTGCCTCCCAAGTGCTGGGATAAAAGGCACGCCACACCAAGTTGCCGTTGGCAGGCGTTGGTGGCACAGGCTTTTAATCCCAGCACTCAGGAGGCAGAGGCATGGGGAGCCCTGTTAGTTTGAGGCCAGCCTGGTCTACAGAATTAGTTCCAGTACAGTGACAGCTACAACAGAGAAACCCTGTCTTGAAAAAAAAAAAATAAGGTGGAGGGGGGGAGGTTTCAGTGGTCATAGTTTCTGTTCACAGCAATAGAAACCCTAACTAAGACAGACTCCCATTGTCTCCTCTGACCAGAGTGGCTGTGGGTTCCCCTTACATCAGGTGGCTGCTTCAGAACATAATAATCACATAATAAGTATTTGTTTGGCCTAGGTAGAATCTCAGTACTTGGGAAGCTAAAGCAAGACGATTATCACTGAAAAGAACCTTTCTCAAAAAAAAAACTTATAGTTTGCTCAAAGTAATAAAACAGTTAAAAAATCCATTGGCTCAGCCTGGAAGTGGTGGCACACGCCTTTAGTCCCAGCACTCAGGAGGCAGAGGCAGGTAGATCTCTGAGTTCGAGACTACAAGACTTAGTTCCAGGACAGGCTCCAAAGCCACAGAGAAATCCTGGGAGTGGGGAGGAGGGAGATTGGCTCAAAACCTTTTTTTAAAAACTTTATTGTTAAAAAATAAATTTTTAAAAAAACTGCCTTGGAAAGGCAAATACCTCTCCGAGTTCCAGGACATCCAGAGCTACACAAAGCAACCCTGTATTGAACCCCCTCAAGAAAAAAAAAAACTGCCTTGGGGTTGGTAGCCATGCTTTTGATACCAGTGTTCTGGAGACAGAGGCAGGCAGAGCTCTACAAGTTCAAGACCAGCCTGGTCTATGTAATGACTTCCAGGTCAGTCAGGGCTACATAGTGAGATGAATCTGTCTAAAAAAATAAAAAACAAAAACACTTGCAAATAAAAATTAAAATGTGGGCCTTACATATTAAGTAACTGGAACTGAATGATTAGATAGATAGATAGATAGATAGATAGATAGATAGATAGATAGATAGATAGATACATGATGGATACATAGACAAGTAGATAAATAGATAGATAAGTTTTGGCTATTTTAACTGTATAAAAGTTCATTAGGATGTATAGACTATGGTTCTATACAGCCAACCCTGTGTCAGGGGAAAAAAAAAACAACCTAACAATTTCAAGACAGCAACAGCAAAACATTAAATTAATGTGATCCATGAAGATATTAGACCAGGTTTTGTTTGTTTGTTTGTTTGTTTGGAAGTAGGGAAAAAGCTCTGGTGACTGAAAAATATAATGGGAGACTAGTAATGTGCTATTTAAGCCAAGGGGAGACATTTCCCTACTTCTGAGAAACTAAAAAGTTTATTAGAAAAAATTTAAACATGTTAGTCGTGTGACAAGTAAAGACAAACGGAATATAGCCAATCTGGCCCTTGTTCTCACATCATTTAAAATGTCATGGCGGAGACAAGTGTTGAAAGCAGATAATCCTTAGAAAGAGGCGAATGTGAAGATGGGGAAAAGATATAAGCAGAAGAGTAAGAGTAGATTAACCTAGTCTGAGGTTCAGCGACCTTTATGCTGTGTCCATCACTAGGCAGCCCAAAGGCACTCGCTTCCCCACTAAAACTGCTTTAATCAAGTCTAGGGCAGGTACATCTCCATGGGTTCAAGGCCAGCCTAAGCTCCAGAGTAAATACCCTGTCTCAGACAGACTCAAGAGGATCTCCAGGACTTCAAAACCAGCCTGGTCTACATAGACAGTCCCAGAGCTACATAATGAGACCCTCCCAAGCTGGCTCAGCTGTCAAGGGTGCTTACTGCCAAGCCCGATGACCTGAGTTCAATTCCTGGAACGTGGTGGAAGAAAGAGAACCAACTCCTTAGTCATCCTGTGACTTCCATACATGCATACTTGTGCCCCCCACAAACAAAAAATTACAATAAAAATTTAATGAAAAATTATGTATGCATAATGTGCCTTTTCTACAGTCTCCGGTAGGTTACGTAATACATGATAAGGCATAGCATTTCACCTGTGGAAACTCATGTGAGCACCCAGCTTTTATTAAGCCAAAGAGATTTTCAAAAGGGCCAACAACACTCTTCCTTCATTTTTCTTTTGTTTTAAAGAAAAATTTTTTATCATTTATAATAACGTGTAAGAATTTGCCTCAGCCACTTTTAAGTGAGCTAATAAATATCTTGAAGTTTTCCGTTTTTATTTCTGAATATAGTAAATATTGATAGATTAAAACCTGCATAAGCAAGAGCTCTCTGAAAACCTTTTTAAGATATTTTTTTTAATAGGCTGGTGAGATGACTCAGTGGGTAAAGACTCATGCCTCAACCCAGGTGACCTGAGTTCCCTCCCCAGGACCCTCATGGAAGGAGAGAACTGATTCCTTGTGTCCTGACCTCCACATATGCCCTGTGGAATTGAAAGAATTGGTGGCATGTGCCTGTAAGACATAGCACTCCAGATTGAGGAAGGATTTCTGTAAGTTTGTGGCCAGCCTGGTTCACATGGTACCAAGCCAGACATGGCTACATGGTAAGGTAAACTAAGATTAAGTAAAGTAAGTAAAGAAATAAACAAGAAAAAAAATAGCATGAAGGGATCTTGAGTTCAGAAAGCTTTAAGAACTGTGTCCTGGAGCCCAATCGCTGTCTTGTGTGTGTGTGTGTGTGAGTGTGTGTGTGTGTGTGTGTGTGTGTGTGTGTGTGTGTGTCTGTGTGTGTGTGTGTGTGTGTGTGTGTGTGTGTGTGTGTGTGTGTGTGTGTGTGCTGCCAAGGCATCCATGATGATCTTATCTAGACTGGACAGTAAATATGCTGACAAGTCCCAGGATTACATTACCGCTTTAAGCCTTTATTCCTGAGTTTGAGACAACGTGTATTCGGGTCTCTGTGTGATCTCTCTCTGTTTTTGGCTTCTGGCAGGTATTTAGGCATGTCAAATTTTACATGACTGCACATCTAAAACTGCTTTTCTGCTAACTCCCCAGACCTGCTTAGAAACTCTAATCCAGAACCCTTGGAGTTGGGGGGGGCGGGGGTTGGAGAGGTGGCTCTTTGGTTAAGAGCATTTGTTGCTCCTCAGAGGACCTCCATTCAGTTCCCAGCACCCACAAGGCGGCACACCGCCGTCCGTAACTCCAGTTCCAAGGGATCTAATGCATTCTTCTCAGGGACAGAACACGTATGTGGTACACATACGTACGTGCGGGCAGAACACTCATGACTATAAAATAAAATGTGTTTTTTAAAAAACTGTTCTTTCTCATGTTTTCCACTCGGCTACTTCAGAATATACTCAGAATACACTAGCCTTTTCCACCTCCTCTGTTGTCGAATTGAGCTGCGTCAGCCATCATCTCTTTGCCCGAGTTTCGCAGGAGACTCCTAGCCTGTCTTCCCTCCTCCTGCCCTGGCCTTACTCACTATTCTAGCCGTAGAGCTGCCGCTGAGTGAGTGAGCCTGTAAAGCTTAAGCCCCATGCTGTCACCACCTCTGCCCAAAACCTGGCTCTCACCTGCCAGAGCAAAAGCCAAGGTCCTTCCTTATAAGGGCCTCCAGAGCTCACCTGCCCCCACACACTTCTCTGACTCAGTGGCCTCTTTGCCATTCAGGGTAGGCTCTTGCCTGAGGGCCTTTTCTTTCTGCCTGGAATGCTCACCTCCAAATACCATCCTGACTCATCATCCCC